TTTTTTGCGGACCCGGGGATTGAACTCAGGCCCTTGCGCTTGCCAGGGAAGCGCTTATTCCACTGAGCCATCTCCCCAGTCCCCAAATGGGTGATTTGAAAATAATACATTTAATAGTCACTCTCTTATGGCTTTACTTCTTGTCATCCATAGATGATCATAGTATAAAAATATTAAATGAAAAATTCCAGAAATAGTATATTTTCAAGACTATATTGTTATAATGACTCTATTTCATTATTGTTGTTGTCAACCTTTTATTGTGCCTAATATATAAATTAAAGTATATTGTAAGTATGTGTGTTTAAAAGAAAAGGTAGCACACATAGGGTTGGGTATTACCATTTGCAGTTTCAAGAACACACTGGGGCTGCCAGCAGGCGCAGGGACTGGGGGTTTGATCCCCAGAGCTGCTGTGCCAGTCGCGCCCCTGGGGTGCGCTGAGACGGCAATTGAGACTGGGTGTGGTGGCGCGGGCCTGTAATCCCAGCTCGTGGGAGGCTGTAAACAGGCGGATCACTACGAGTCTGATCTAGTAGTGAGACCCTGAACACCCCATACACCCTTCCCTAAAATAAAAAAAAAAAAAAAAATACACTAGGGAACCTGAAAGAGTAATGAAAATCTAAACGGTACAACAGGTACTGTGAAAGGGAAAGAAATTGTTGAATGGGAGGGCAAAACTGAGATAAGGAAAAGGACAAATGGAAGAAGGGAAAAATACATTTAGGTATATATGTAGAATAGTTTGGATAACTGTATTGTCAATTTCTGCCAGTCTTTTGAAAGGAGCAGTTAAAGCTTAATTTTCTTTTTTTAAGATTTTTTTCTTCTATTGAATTTCTTACAACTTTTTGTCATTGCTTTTTTTTTTTCTTTAAATAAATCTTACACATTTCTATCTGGTAATGTGAACAACTAATTTGAAGATAGCATCATATAATACAACAACCATTATTGAACTCCTGTTACTTTGTTTAGTGAAATCTTGTATCGTTCCTCATGCTTTTTTTCTATCACTATTTTGTATTCTTTAATAATAATAATAAAAAAAGAATACACTGGGGGTCTTGGAATGCACCCTCCATGGGTAATAGGGGCTTACGGTAAACTCAGGTGAGGATGTGGGTTGTTTCCCTTTGTGCAAAAGGGTTGTTTCAAAGAGAAATATATCTCATCCTCTTAGTAGTGGTTGATGAGTTGATTTTCAGAGAAAAACTATCCTTTCATCCTTCCATTCTGATCTTTGAGTACTGTTGATTTCTAATGGAACTCACCTGTCAACCCCGACTTGTATTTGTTTACTTTGCTACTGCAAATAATGTCTGTCCAGATCGGGACCTTTCAAAATCTAAAATATTACCAGCTCCAGTTATGTGCAAATTCAGCTGCCCGTGAAAAGAGAACGATGTATCAAGAAATGATTCACGTTCCTTAGAAAGAAGAAATTCTGATGTACAGTGCTTTATACAGAACGGTTGGCTCTAGAAGCCATGGTGTGCTGTTTCAGGCATCGCGTGCATGGAATGTTTCTTTCTGTGGTAAGGAGAGGGGAGATGGCCTGCTGGTATCGCTGAGGACTGTGAACTATTGAACTTCAGGAACTTTCAAGGGATTTCTGAGTTCCATCCCCATCCATTCCTCTTATCAAATGCAGCCTGGTAGGACTCGTAACTGCTTTTCTACCACCTTCTTTCCTTTGTCTCTTGAAGCACAACAGAGCCATTAATAGTCTTCCAATGCAAATTCTCCCTCGGAAATATATGTTTCAATAGTGAGGCGGAAACCAGAGGAGCTCAGAGCTATGAAGACACCTCCCAGGAGATGACACAGGTAATATTTTCTGGGTCCTTGGTGTCCTCCTGTTCTAGAAGTATCTTTAGAGTCCTGGCCTCTCTTTCCAACTGTGGGAGGGATGTCTTGAGCCCAAGGTCGGTGCTTCTGTGTGCTGGCTGGCCATTGTTCTGAGGCTTGGACCAGTGTCTTTCTAATGTCGTTTAGAAGGTGTAGACCTGGTGACACTCATCAAAAGCTACTATCACAGAGGCCGGCCAGATAGCTCAGCAGACTACAGCACCTGCCTAGGCAGGCGCAGGGACGGGGGTTCGATTCCTGGTGTGCCCTGCCAAGCTGGCCCTGCCCCCACCACTGCTATTGAGACTGGGCGTGGTGGCACACACCTGTAATCCCAGCACTTGGGAGTCTGAAAACAGGAGGATCACTACAAGTTGACCTGTGTAGTGAGACCCTCTAGACCCTGTACTAAAATACATTAAAAAAAAAAAAAAAAAAGCTACTATCACAGATGCCTCTCCTACTTGTTAATGGAATGCTTTTCACCTGTTACTCTTGACAACTGAGTGGAAAATGTGGTTATAAAATGGATCTCTCTCCTTCATTTTTTAGGGATACCAGCACATTTGGAACCTTCCAGTGGCTCCCTTCTCTGACAGTGCATACCATTTTCGTGTAGCTGCACCAGTAAGCTTGCTTTTGAATTTCTTTTTGGTAAAAAAAATTTACCACTAAAGGAATAAATACTTCAGCTACAGTTGATTTTTACATTAATCTTTTTTTTTTTCTCCTGTTCTGACAGGATTTAGCTAATTGTTCAACGGATCCTTTTTTTGCTGGGCTATTCTTCACAGATTATTTCTTTTATTTCTATCGACGCTGTACCTAATTTATTCAAGTTTGGTGTTTTTACCAAAGAAAAATGCTCAGGAATACAGTTAACGGACCCTGGTATTTTCTTGAAAGTTGTTTCATCAGTTCTGTGAAACATACACATTTATTACTGAAGGACTCTTTCAGACTTTGGCTTCCAGTGGGTTTCAGACATTAATAAGGAGAATAAAGTGTTTGCTGCAACTTGAAAGATTGTGGTATTTGGTTTTTGTCATGATTGTAAAGAAAACATTTCTTGGAGTAAACAATACCATTAAATTTGAAGACACTGCTTGTTCTAAGGAAGTTGTAGGTCAAAAGTAAGAAGGTCTATCTCTGTCATTATTTCAAAGCCTTTGAGAAGAAAACAACAACAAAAAAGGCCATGTCAACTTGGACTCACTAAATCTGAACTCTGAAAATTATGTGATGAGGGTTAACCCTGTGGGAGGGGGCAGTGGTGTGGGACCCTAAGTTCACATCTAGTGAAACTTTCTCTCTATCTATCTCTCTCTGAATGTGTCTCTCTGTCTCTCTCTCTCTCTGTCTCTCTCTCTGTCTCTCTCTCTCTCTCTCTCTCTCTCTCTCTGTCTATAATATGCCCATAATATAGCAGTATGCAAAATGCACCTTGCTAATGAAATGGATTTAAATGAAAGGGTTCCTAATCAGCTTTGTGATACCTGGTGGACACTAGACTTCTATGTTCTGTGCTACACGCTCTTGTGCTCAGACACCACTGACGTTACTCCATGTCTCTAACCCTAAATCAGCTCACACTGTCAGAAAGGCTCTTTCCTGCAGGTCCTGCTCCCTGTACTTCCAGAGTGACCCCGTTGCCCCCCATGTGACCTCCCTTGGAATAGCATGACCTCTTGTCTTGGGAGTTGTAAGTAAAAAGCCATCTTTTTTTAGGTAAATGTCTCCTAATATATTGGAGTTATCACACATCATTCCTATAATAATATGCTATATTTTGCATAATTTTCTATGACTCTGCCATGCTTTAGAAGAGGCACCAAGCTCCTCTCACTGTGGTTCCAGGGCAGGGGTGGTGAGCGCCCAGTTTCTCTTTTCTTATGGTTGGTCTGATGTCCATTAGGATGTGGTTCTTTGGTTTTACTTCACAATGGTAATCAGCAACAATAATATATTTTTCTCTTTATTATTTTCAGATATTAAATATATACCATACGGAAACTTCAACCACTGTGAAACTTCAACCACTAAAAAGTGAAAAGACATGGCTTTTGCTGGGACCGAAGGCTTTTTGAGATAAGTTTTGTAGCATCAATATGATTTAATCTTGGAAGCCGGTCTTAGCATTGCATTCAAGTTCTGACCTTATTTGTGTCACCTCAGGCAAGTTATTTAGCCTTCCTAAGTCACAGTTTCCTCCTTTATAGACAAATACAGTGAGTGCTTACATCAGACAGAAAGAACTGGACTCAGTATGTAAATCAAAGGCATATTCCAAATAAACATAAGCTTTTATTATTATAACAGCATAGGACAGAATTGTTAGGAAGATTACATTAGGATTACAAAGGAATTGTGTGACTAAGTGCACATCAATCAAGGCATTTTCATCAAAAACAAAAAACAAACTGCATATAGAACACATGTGTGCGTAGCACATCCTATTTATATTTTACTATATTTTGAAACTGTTTTCCCTTTTACAAACAGCATGGCCTGTGTGAATATGGAATAAAGTAGTTAATTCTTTGGAAAAGTCTTCCGGGATTCCTTCAGTTTCTTAGATTCAAATTCAGACTTAGTTCTCCTAAGCTGGAGTTCAAGCAGGACTTGACTTCACACACCGGACCCTTCTGTGTTGTAGCAGAATCTCTAGTTGTTCGAAGAGGAACATTCCATTAGTTGACTCCTTTTCTTCTAGTAAAGGGACATTGGTCACCACAGCAAGGAGAACTGGGAAGAGGTCTCTGTGCTGTGGCACCTGGGATTAGTACATCCTCCTGGGAGACTGGGCTGGAAGATTCTCGTGCTCACAGCACTCTCGGAGCTGTGAGATACAGCAGTGGCTCATCCTTCTTCAGGCCCAAAAGCTCTTCCTCATGCCAGAAAAACTGTCCCCCTGTCCATCCCTAAACTCCAGTAACTAAAGTGTGTACTGGAGTCTTCCTCCCCAAAACTCATAAGCGCAGTCTACTCATGAGAAAAACTCAGACCAGTTCTGAGAGATGTTCTATAATATATCTGACCAGTACTTCTCGAAATTGTCAGTGTCATTCAAAAAAGGAGATCCTGGGAATGTGTCACAACCAAGAGGATCTTAAAGAGATAGGAATTTAAACAGTAGTATAAATTCAATCCTGAAAGATAGGTACTATTTTTAACTTCAAGTCATTCTAAATTTTTTAGGGCTGGGGGGATAGCTCAGTGGCACACTCACCTGCCTGGCAAATGCAAGGTTGCGAGCTTGATCCTCAGTACCGAAATAAAAAGAAACAAGGTATCTTAATTCCCTGCTTTGTTGATTATTTAAGCTCAAACTGTATGCATGATTTAGTTAGCTTCCTAATTATAGAATCATATAAAAATAATATAACATAAACAAGTAGAATTCCAATAATTTTATGATTACTAATAAAAATACTAAAACATGATTTTGAAAGCTGTCAGTTCTTTTAATCACTGACACAAAAATTCATTAAGAACCACTGGCATGTGTGTGCTCAATCTTCCAGCATTTTAAAAATAAAAATACTTTGTAGTGCTCTTGACCTATCCCTTGATACATTTTTATTTAAATTTAGTTTTCTTAAAAAATGTCAATAAGATAAATTTATTTTTCCTACATAACGTTTGGTTCATCTTTCCAAACGAATTTCCAGCAACATATTGTTTTAAAACAAAATTAAGCATCTTCAAAGAAAAAGAGAAAACATGATCCAGTTAGCAATTTATAAAACTACTTTCAAAGACCTCCCTTCATTTGATTCTACAACCGTGTGTTGTTGATAGGGAAGGCAATTATTCCTAAATTTTGCCAAAGGATTCCAAGACCCTGTGTATTGGGACACCCCCATTATATATGCTAGTAATAAACAGACATTAAGCATGAAAAAGAGGGAAGCCAGGTTGTCTGCTACCAAAATTCATTCCTTTCCACAAGATTACTTCACTTACCATCAAGAAGCTTTTCTTTTCTTCCTGGTTCTTTGGGGTTTATGAGAGACCACCAACTCAGATATTGAACCACCAAAAAAAAGCAGTAACCCACTAATGGCCTTGTAAGTGGTATTTCTTGAGACCCTGGAAGCTGATTAGAGACCATTTAGTCATAATACAGAGTAGGAGTAGGGCAGAGGAACAGAGATGGGTGGAATCTTCTGTCACCAGCCACTAAGTGACAGCTATTTATATTGTACCAGAGCTTATCAGCTCACTTAAGAATGCTAAATATTAATCTCACTCTTAGGAGCCTGCCAGTAAAATCTTCACTTGGCAAAGCTGAAAGTGTTTTGGCTTTGATTTCTTCAAGGGCATGTAGCATTGATCTTTGTGTCTGATTCGAAAGAGCCGATTGAGCTTTTAAAAGGCATCCAAGGATTTAGAATCTAGTGCATTTTTGATGAGTGGTTGTTTAAAGCTTGTAGAAACACAGCTTCACAGACTTTCAATTTAGCAACAGCGTTGAGTACACAACTTCATCTCTTCTTGGCTGAATTCTGTGAATGGAAAATGCTTGGTTAAGTCTTAGGGCATACTTTGGAGGAAGGGATGGGCACTGAAGATCACAGGCTCAAGCCATCAATTTCTTAACACACAAATCTAAAATCAGGTCATATTTTAGAAAGACTCTTGAACTCATGTCTTTGCCAAAGTTGGGTTCTTAAGCCAGTTTTTAGCCACATGAGTCTGACTCCTGTTTAAAATGAAAAATAACTGGGAAGAGAATCAAGCTCAGAGTCAGGAGGTCTGGTGCTCATTCTAGCTCAACGACCTGTCACTGGCGTCGCCTGGGGTGGTTCTCCTCACTCCTTTAAATTTCACCTTCCCAAATGCGAAGTACTAGTCCTGAGGGCCTCTGAGAGTTCTGTCAGTGCTAACTGAGACATATACATATGATTGCTTTGTAAAGTGGAAGATGCCATATGGACATGGGAAACACTAACGTGGGCCACTGGAAAACATTATTTTAAAGGACTAAAAAGGATTTTGGAAATTCTTGTTTTCATGAATTTCTGTTCATTATGCTTAGGGTAAGCTATTTATCTACCATCTTCTTCACCTGAAAAATATATTACCCAGAACATAATAGATGATTCATTAACATTTATTGAATGTAAAGTATGTAAATGGAAACATTGTCTTCTTTATTTACTAGGGAGTAAAGCAAGATTGCTTTAAAAAAATAGATTTGAATTTCTCTCACTTTTTCCACTGTAATTATTTTTATTACTACTGTTTGGAATGATAGGATTATTATTATGTTATAATTACTTGGAATAAGAGGTTATTATTCTTTTCTTTAAGCATATTTAAAAAGCTCTAAATGATTTTCAGTAGAAACTATAGAAAACCAAATGGGCTATGGTCTATTAAAGGATTTTACAATTCTGATAGCTACAGCTCATTATTTATTATTTATATTTATGTTGCTGTATTTAATTCTGTACAGCACAACTGCACAAACATCTAAATTAATTGCAGATTAATCACAAAGCATTTAATGAATGTTTCCTATTGTATCCAAACACTGAGCTCATTCTATCAGTAATTAGGCTGCAGAAGCATTTCCACTGCTGTCAGATCTCAGAACTGTCATGGATGGTTACAGAAAAACATTTGCTGCTAAGTATGGATGCTTTGGACTCTGCTGGCTTTCAAGGCAGTATTTGGGATTATCCACAATAAGGAAGCTGCTGAAGATTATATTAAAAACAAAAGGACTTTCAGTCACTTCCTGGAGTCAAAAACATAAAGAAAAATCAGAGAACACCCCAGTGTTGATGACCCTCCATCTACCCACCTTGGACGCTGTAGCAGGTTGTCCACCTTCCATCTTCCATCACTAAATCACTCATTACATAAACATGTGTGGG